ACGGAATATCTGGTTTTCCTCCAGAATCTGGGAGGTGCAGGCACAGGTGGGGAAGGGTGCAGGAAACCTAGAAAGGTGGGGGTCCCAGTGGGGAACCATGTTTTCCAGTAAAGCCACCTCGGCTCATTACTCTGCCTGTCTGAGGAATGGGGTGCCACGTTGGCATCAGAAGGTGAACTTGCAGCGGCTGGTTTCCTGGAGTGGAAACTGAGGCCCAGGCCACACAGCACAACGTGCAAGGGAGTGCTGTCCATGGTCCTGCCGCCGCCTTATCCCAGACCCGGAAAAGGTTCCCGTGGAACAGCCACCTGGAGGATCAGCCGCACCCTTGGCCGAGGCCTGGATCCTTGAGCTCATCAGGCCAGGCCCCACCCAGCTCTCTGCTCGCCCGATTGTTGTATCTAGGCCCCGCCCTCCCGCCGCGATAGGCTGTTCTCGAAGAGACCCACCCAACTCCCCACACGTGGGAGTGGGCCCCGCCTCACTCACTGATTGGCTGGTCCTCCAGGAAACGCACGTTGTGCAGAGCCTCCCCCTGCTTGGCTCGCAGGTTCTGAAGCCAGAAACGGATGATGCTCTGTCGCTCCTGCAGGGGACAGGGCGTGAGTACAGCGAGTAACGCCTGCAGACCAGGGATGTGCAGGATGTGCAGGATGTGCAGGATGTGCAGGATGTGCGCTGGGGGCTGAGCCGGCGCACCTGGGAGGTGAAGAAGCGTAGCTCACTCTCCACATTCTCGTAGATAAAGTCCTCCTCGCAGGAGAAGCCGCGGGTCCCCCCGCCAAACTCCGCCTTCACTGCTTTCCGCAGACCCAGCTCGTCGGCCCCTCGGAGGAGGCTGCAGGAAGGCAGGGGAGTGCGTCACGGGGAGACCCTGGCGCCCTGTCCTGGAGGGAGGGATGGTGCCCCTGGCGGCCGCCCGAGCCAAACACAGAACGGCTGGACCTTGTCGTTGGTGCTCGGAAGGGCAGGGGGCTGGGCGTCAGGGTCGGCGAGAGGCCGGGGACAGGGACTCGCCTCTCATACGTGGCGGTGACGAAGAAGGCATAGGCACGCGTGCGGCGGTGGTGGCGGACTTGCACTATGAGCTCGGGGATGCCCACGCGGATGTGGTTCAGCAGCCAGAGCAGCGTGTGGTCATCCGTCGTATCTGCCAAGGGTTGCAAGGGCTGAGGAGTCTTGCCAGGATGGGTCCGAGGTCGCTTACAGACTCCCACTCAGGGGAGCCCGTCTGAGCACGGTGCGGGTGGGCACGGGTACCTGGGAAGGTCATCAGCACGTCGCAGTTCTCCGTGGGCACAGTCTTCATCCACGCCTTGTGGGACACCAGGTACCGACCCGCTTGCAAGAGCCGCTTCCCAAAAAGCTTATCTGGGGGGACGGGGTGGGGCAGGCCGTCCAGGCCGTGGTCAGGCCACTTCTGGACCAGGAGCCTGGCCTCCAGCCCTTGCCCCCGCTCACACACTCACCAGGGCTCCTGGGCACTCAGCCTGGCTTTCAAGGCCCTGCAAGCTCTGGACTTGGCTTGTTTCCTTGCCTTCAAGTCCTTGCACCAGCGGAACCCTCCTCCAGGAATGCCCTTCCCCCCAGACCCTCTCTTACAAATCTTACTCATTCTTGAGGCCCAGATCCGCCTCCAAAACCACAACTGATGGGGCTGCTTACTCGCAGCCCTGAGCGCTTCACCAGATTATGTCAGCGAGTCTTCACAGCTGGGCGTGATGCTTACCCCCATTTCACAGGGGGAGAAACTGAGGTCCAAAGCATGTAAATCACGCGCCCAAGGTCACACAGCGGAGCTGGGGCTCGAACCCAGAACGGTATGATTCTATACCCTTTGCGGAGAGGAACTCTCAAGCGCAGCCCTGCCTGGCCCCGATCGGTAGCCCCAGGGGTGACGGGCCGCAGCCTCCAGTCTGGGCTCCAGGAGGGGCGTGTCCGGGTCTCTGCGCTGG